GAACTCATGGGAGACAAAAGAGCGCGACATCTGTCCTACTGAGTCTTGAGTGGCATGCAGATGTCCTGCTTGCCAGTCAAGACTCAGTACGCTGCCCTCTTTCATCTCCAATGAGTTCTAAGAGGTAGGTCTTCGATCTCGTGGGGACAACTCATCAAAAAATACTTCCTTGAATTTTCCCTTCTGATTCGACCCCCTCCTCCAGCCCACCCCTCCGCCTACCATCTCCCTGAATCCCATCACCTTCCTAAAACATTTCCGAAATTTTCCTTCTGCAGTTCCCCCAGAAAATTTACATCCGTCGAGAGCGGTAGAGGCAGGAGGAGGGAACATAGCACGTGAAACGAGAAAAAAACCGTGAAAACTCAACAACCGAAAACACTCTTCCTGAAGACAAATACGATTTCTTCGCTAGCGACCCACAAGCGGCACGTGCCGTGTTGGCAAGATGTTATGTGACATTTTGACTTCAGTAAAAAACATCTGATGCTTTGACTGACCTCTTGATAGCCATTCCAAATCAATCTTCGGTTCTCTTCAGCTTCATCATCGAGCAGTTTCAATATAGCTTCAGCAACACTAAAACACTTCCCTTAGAAATGCGTCGGTTTCCGAGTTCAGTAAAAGTTTCAAAGATACTGAATTAATAAGGCTTCAAAAGGATGAGGGAGCTACTCAAGCCCAGACGTTGAAAAGGATAAGGTGAGGCAATTCAACCGCACAGTCCGCGTTGGCGCCGTCATCCAACTTACCGTGTTACAAGAGCGGGACGCACTAATAAAAAGGCAAGGTGGCAGGCCCGATCCCGCCCACATGACCAGCGTGAACAGCGCCTATACCGCTAGGCAACGAAAAACTCGCTCATTTGCCCTGAGCCACCGTTCACTTCCAGAGCTTTTTCAATGACAGGGTTTTATTCAAAGGAGTGGGCTTGAGATGCAGAAACCGACTTTTGCTTTCTCGTCTCCGCATCACCTTCACCTTGGGCCACCTCTAAGATGTAGTCCAGAGCGTTACGAAGATTTATTGCTGTTGGCCGCGATTCAACCAGAT